GTAGTTTCACTATGTTGTTCAGGCTGGTCTTGAATTCCTGACCTCAAGTGATCCACCCGCCTCAGCCTCCCAACGTGCTGGGATTACAGGCTTAAGCCACCTTGCCCCGCCCCTTTGAGCTCCTTTAAAAGGAGGCTGGCGGTTGCAGAATGGACGAATAGGGTGAGGATGTATTTTCCAATCCTGGTCTGTCATTTACCGGCTGGGTAATCTTGGCCTTGACCTTTCTCAGCCTCACCTTGTTTGTCTATCTGTCTGGGAATTCTAGGAGGGATCAATGAGCTCATTGCTCCCAGAGTAGGGTCAAGAAAAGACACCAAACCTGTTACTGTTCTCTAGGAATTTCCTGTCCAGGAATGAACCCGGAGACACAGAAGGTGCTGTGAGAACTGATGGGGGTGAAGGGATCAGCAAGGGAACAAAGGAAGGGCATCCCCAGGGAGGCTGTGATGGGTTCTGAAGGATGAGTAGGAGGTCGGTAGGTCAAAAACTAGTGAAGGGTGTTCCTGATAGAGGAATGAAAGTATGAAAGTATGAGGTGTGGAGTGGGGAGGGGAAGAAGTTAGAACTGGGGCCTGGGGTTGATGTGAGCCAGAGTCAGGTCACGAAGGACAATGCACGCCATACGGAACTGGGGACAGATCTCGGGGGGGGTTGAGAGCTTGTGGAGAATTTCAGGTAGGAGGTGGGTGGGGACAAGGGCAGGTTTTTGTTTTTAAGTTTATTTTTAGAGACAGGTTCTTGCTCTGTTGCCCAGGCTGGAGTGCAGTGGTCTGACCGTAGCTCCCTGTGACCTCGAACTTCTGACCCCAAGTGGTCCTCCTGAGTAGCTGGGACTACAGGTGCATGCCACCAAGCCTGGATAATTTCAACATGTTTCGTAGAGATGGGATCTTGCTGGTCTTGAACTCCTCCCACCACGGATCTGTGTTTGCAGCGCACTCGGGGAGCCGGTCTGGAGGTTACTTTGGAGGGACAGGTCTCCACGGGAAGGATCAGCAAGGGGAAGCCAAGCGGAGTTGAAGTGGGTCTAGGAGAGGGCCGGAAGGGACTTCGGTCGCGGGTGCTGCTTGAGAGGGGTTCGAAGACGGGAACTGGAAGGATGGGATTCAAGGACGGGGTGTGTTCAGGGCCCAGACGAGGGGCGGGTGTGTCACGGGGGCCCAGTCCGTCCACTCACCTCCATTCCTCTTACTATGGGAGCTGGAAAGGCTGGGGCCAGAGCGGGACCCTGGAATGAAGATTTTCAATGGGGCAGTTTTGGGTGGTGGGAGGGTGAGGGTCAATGGAGATGAGGCAGGCTGGGCCCTGGGTAGCTGGGCAATCCCCCACACGGCCAGTGGGATCCCCAGGATGAGGCAGCGGATGGGGCAGGAAAGGGGGTGGGGGAGGGCGGGGGGATACTGGTCCCTGGTCAGGGACCGCAGGCCCTGGGATCATCAGTGAGGAGGGTGGGTAAGGCCTGGGTCAGGTCAGGGGTCCACAGCCATGCTCCCTGCAGGCATCAGATCGTGCACTTGGGCCAAGTGGCTAGACCTGGGGCTGGGAGCGGGATGAAAGGTCCCTGTGCTGACCCCACCCAGCTGACCAACCCCTCTGCGCTCTTCCCCATCAGCCTGATTTTTGGGTCACTGACCATCATAACCGGCGTCATTGGGGTCATCTTGGGGGCAGAAGTTGCGAGGAGGTACAAGAAAGCCAACCCAAGAGCTGAGCCCCTCATCTGTGCCTCCAGCCTGCTCGCTGCAGCCCCCTGTCTCTACCTGGCTCTCGTCCTGGCCCCGACCAACCTGCTGGTGTCCTATGTAAGTGAGGGGACAGTGTCGGGGGTGAGGGCTCCTGTTTCCACGGGCTCACGCTGGGCCTGGCCGTTATGTACATTATGTTATGCCTTCCTTGAGTAGAGCTTGTCATCCCCATTTTATAGATCAGCAAAGGGAAGCTTGGCCGGGCACAGTGGCTCACATCTGTAATCCCAGCACTTTGGGAGGTCAAGGCGGGTGAGTCACTTGAGGTCAGGAGTTCGAGACCAGCCTGGCCAAGATGGTGAAACATCATCTCTTCTAAAAATAGAAAAAAATTAGCCAGACATGGTGGCGGACACCTGTAATCCCAGCTGCTCAGGAGGATGAGGCAGGAGAATCGCATGAACCCAGGAGGCAGAGGTGGCGGTGAGCCAAGATCGTGTCACTGCACTCCAGCCTGGGCGACAGACGGGACTCCATCTCGGCGGTGGGGGCGGGGTGGGGGTGGGGATATGGGGAAGAGAAACTTAACACGAGTGCCACAGAACTGAGATTTGAGCCTCAGCTTTTCTGACTGTAAAAGGTGTCCTCTGAGCTCTGCGTTAATGTGTTAGTTTGAGAAAATAGGACTCATTTATTGCCAGGTCATATTGTGAGCCCAGGAAGAAATAGAGCAATTCTCCCCAGGTCACAGGGGAGGGAAGCAAGGCCCAGATTGGTTATGGCCGGTGTGGACACTGCTTTCAGTCCATAATCACGGTCACGTCAACTGTTCTGAATCCATATCACATCACAGCCCTTCAGGGGTCTTCAGCTGTGGCCAGACCAGCCACGTGGGCACACACGCTTCCCAGACTTTACACGTGTCCCTCTCTTGTGCATCCTGAAATCCTCCTTCTGCAAGTCCAAACTCAAAGGCCGCTTGTCCAGAAGCCTTCCCAGACCACTCTGTCCTCAGGCCAGAATTCACGTTCCCTCTTGAGCTCATGCTGGTTTGGGTCCCTGGAGGCGCCGAGGGTTATGGGGCCTGTCCACAGACAGGGAGCCCAAAGGGTGGAGACCAGAGCCCAAGAGTCCCGTGTGCAGCAGTGTCCCTGGCTCCGCAAAGCCCTAGCCCTGCCCGTCCCCCAAGAGGGGGAAGGGCCACTGCTTCGGGGAGGATGACGCCAGCCCGGCCACAAGCAGAGGGGCCGGGGCTCCCTGCCTCTCCCAGCTCCACGGCCCTGGGCCGGTGCCTGCAGACACGGATGTGCTTGTGTGTACAGCAGGTGCGCGGAGCAGGCTGGACTTGGGAAAAGGGATGGCACGGCTCTGTGGTCCTCGCACTGGTTTGGCTGCATCTCCCACCCATGGCCAGAGCCCATCACTTCTCTAGTCACACGCAGGAGCTAAACAGGTTGGTCCCATTGAAGTCATCGAAATCAAAACTTTGGCCCTGCTTCCAAATAAAGCTGCTTCTTCTTTTTTTTTTTTTTTTTGAGACTGAGTCTCTGTCACCAAGGCTGGAGTGCAGTGGTGTGATCTCAGCTCACTGCAACTTCTGCCTCCTGGGTTCAAGCTGCTGCTGAAGCTCCTGCTTCAGCCTCCTGAGTAGCTGGAATTATAGGTGTGAGCCACCACCCCCGGCTAATTTTTGTATTTTATTTTATTTTTTGAGATGGAGTCTCGCATTGTTGCCCAGGCTGGAGTGCAGGGGCACAATCTAGGCTCAGTGCAACCTCCGCCTCCAGGGTTGAAGTGATTCACCTGCCTCAGCGTCCTGAGTAGCTGGGATCACAGGCATGCACCACCACACCCAGCTAATTTTTGTGTTTTTAGTAGAGACAGGATTTCACCATGTTGGTCAGGCTGGTCTTGAATTCCTGACCTCGTGATCCGCCCGCCTCGGCCTCCCAAAGTGCTGGGATTACAGGCATGAGCCTCCATGCCTGGCTCCAAACGAAGCTTCCTTCCAGGACCAGAAACTTGCCTTGGGAAGTGGGGGGCTGTAGTCTCGTCTCGTTCTCCTTGTTCCATCTTCTACCGGCATCCCGACACCACGCCTCCCTTCGAGATTCTGTCTCCTCCACAGATGAGCAGGCGAGGAAGGACGGCTCAGAACTGCCGAGCACTGCCTGTGTCGGGAGCTGTTTTTGCTGACTGTTAGTGCCTTCCCTGTGGCAGATGCCCAGAGGCGGGGTGGGGGGGCACTTTTTGGGCATTTTGGGGCCTCTGGCCCTGGTTTCTGCTTTGCCCAATTCCTCATTGCAGGGTTGCCTTTCCAGCCCGGCCTTCTTGCCGGGGCAGGAGATCTTGCAAGGGGTCACCTCTCATGAGCACTTGTCTTCCTCCATGGTGTCCATCTGACCCCTGGAGGAGGTCAGGAAGGGAAGCCTTCCCGACTGCCACCCTGTCCCTTGCCATGACTCTGCAGACTGCTCCATCTGGCATCTCCCTGGGGGAAGTCAGGCCCCAGGATCCGTCTCCCCGAATGCCAGATGATGTGCATCTGGGTGTCCTGAGGACGCCTTCTCTGCACACCCCTCAGGTGCCCCGGTACAGGAGGCTTGGCATTTAGCTGGTGTCCAGCCAGGGGGAAAAGGCCAGCTTCCTTCCTGGGAAGCACTGCCCTCTGTGGGGAGTGTCACCTGAAGCCCCTTACTTAGCTTAAGAGTGGAGCTCTTTATTTATTTATTTATTCATCTTTTAGAGATGGTAGTTTCACTATGTTGTTCAGGCTGGTCTTGAACTCCTGGACTCAAGCAATCCTCTTGCCTCAACCTCCTGAGTAGCTGGGACTACTGGCTTGCACCATGACACCCAGCTAGTTTTTGTATTTATTATTATTACTACTGAGATGGAGTCTCGCTCTGTCACCCAGGCTGGAGTGCAGTGGCACAATCTCGGCTCGCTGCAACCTCCACGTCCTGGGTTCAAGTGATTCTCTTGCCTCAGCCTCCCTAGTAGCTGGGATCACAGGCATGCGCCACCACACACAGCTAATTTTTGTATTTTTAGTAGAGACAGGGTTCCACCGTGTTGGTCAGTCTGGTCTCAAACTCCTGACCTCGTGATCCGCCCACCTCGGCCTCCCAAAGTGTTGGGATTACAGGTGTGAGCCACCCCGCCTGGTCAAGGGCAAAACTCTTTTAATAAATGCTCCCCCAAGCATGACTTCGATGCAGGCGGGCGGGGGCCACATAGGATGGTTCTGTTCTCCCGCGAGTCCTGAAGGCGTGTCTGGCACCTCTTAAGGTGTGGGCGCTGCTCCCCCTTGCTCTCAGCCTTGGGTCTCTGCAGAAATTCCTGAAGACTAGAAAAGTCTTGTCATTCTCTTCTGCATAGACCCTGATTTAGGTCTCATGACTGACTACTTTGTGGGAAAGGTTTCTTCTTTCCTCTTTTTTTTTTGAGACAGAGTCTCTCTCCGTTGCCCAGGCTGGGGTGTGGTGTCACGACCTCAACTCACTACAACCTCCACCTCTCAGGTTCAAGCAATTCTCCAGCCTCAGCCTCCCCAGCAGCCGGGACTACAGGCATGGGCCACTAATTGTTCTATTTGTTATTTTTTTTGAGATGGAGTCTCGCTCTGTTGCCCAGGCTGGAGTGCAGTGGCATGATCTCGGCCCACTGCAACCTCCACCTCCCGGGTTCAAGCGATTCTCCTGTCTCAGTCTCCTGAGTAGCTGGGATTACAGACACTCACCACCATGCCCAGCTAATTTTTGTATTTTTAGTAGAGACAGTGTTTCACCATGTTGGCCAGGCTGGTCTCGAACTCCTGACTCAGGCTCCCAAAGTGCTGGGATTACAGGCATGAGCCACCATGCCTGGCTGTTGGAAGGCTTTGTCTTATGCCACTTGACAGGCTAGAAAACTGAAGTCCACAGATAGAAACAGGTGAATAGCGGGACAGAGACAGAACTCCAACGAATGGCTGGGTATAGTGGCTGACACCTGGAACCCCAGTATTTTGGGAGGCTGAAGTGAGAGCATTGCTTGAGCCCAAGAGTTAGAGACCAACTTGGACAATGTAGCAAGACCCTGTCTCTACAGAAAATTAAAAAATGAGGTGGGCATAGCGGCACATGCCTGTAGTCCCAACTATGTGAGAGGCTGAGGCTGGAGGATTGCTTGAGCCCCAGAGATGGAGGCTGCAGGGACCTGTGATCATGCCACTGCAGCCCAGCCTGGGTGGCAGAGTTTCTTTGAGACCCTGTCTCAAAAAGACTATCCAACAACCTCCAAGTTGGCTCTGACACCAAAGCCGGTGTCCTTCCTAGTGCACTGACCCAGGAACAGAGCTGCGTATACCCCAGGAACTAGCAAATACCTCAGTGCTTACTGACCGAGGGAGGGGGCATCACTTCTGGCTGATAGGAGCCGTGGGGGCTGGGGGGGCCTGACCTCGCAGGGAGGCTGCAGCCCAGGCAGATGGAGGCCCCATCAGAGCCATCCCTGCACCAGCCAGCTGGGGCTGGGGCCCCCCTGCCAGCCCTGCTTCTGCCACTGCCTTGGTTGGTTGTGGGAGGTGGCTCCTTGGCTGGGTTTTGGGGACACAGCTGCCCCCCACCCTCTGCCGGCACCCTGCAGCCTGGCACATCTCCAGAGCTGGTTGGCTCATCTAGAAATGACATTGCGTCTTGGCTGCCAAAGCCAGCTGGAGAAACTCTTATTTAGACCTGCTCTGGGGGTTGGGGCTGAGGGGTGGAAAGGTGGGCAGGGCCAGGGTGCATCCATCCGCTGGCGCTGGGAAGCTGCTGGGTACCCACCGACGCCGAGCTGCTGTGACCAGAACTCTAACCCTCCAGATCCCGCCCCCACCCCGTGGCTCTGCCTGTGCCTCCGTAGTCTGCTTGGATGTTCTGAGCTGAGATTCAGGCTCCAGTTCCTCCTCTTCAACAGCTGTCAGTGGCAAAGCCCTTGACCTCTCCAGAGTCCACCCGCCCATCTCCGTCCTCCCTGCCCGTCCCTGGCTCATGCCTTGCTGTCTTTCTCCAGAACTGTTCCAGCAGCCACCTTACTGCTATGCTTGTCTTCCTGCTCACCCACCACAATCTGTTCTTCAGTTCTTCACATGC